ATTAAATTCACAGTGCAAATTTTGAAGGAATTCCCCCTGGTATGATGAACTCATCGACATCATGGGGGGAATCCAGCAATATCCCTCAAGACAGTCTCGTCACACCTGGTAGTAGACCATGCAGCAAAATATTTCTCCATCTCACGTACCACCGGCAGCTTGTATTCCAACAGTCTGGGCTCTGGAAGCGCTCAGTTTAGCGCCCAGCCTTTCTCTCCTCAGCTTCCTCCCACTGGCGCTCAGCCATACTCTCCTCAGCTTCCCCCCTCAGCTTCTCAGCCTTACCCGCCCTCTTACCCTCAACCTTACCCGCCCTCTGACCCTCAACCTTACCCGCCCTCGGGCGCTCAGCCCCATGGCAGTCAATACGCGTTTGGCCATGCCCCTCATAGCCAGTACCCACATCACCACCAGTCTGGCACACTCCCCGCACGCTCTCACAACGACCCCAACTCGCTTCTCAATGATGATGATGACGACATGCCGAATTATTTCAGTCCTCTCAATCACGACGACGACATGGACTTTCATTCGAAGATCTACTGAAGCCGACTCCCCCCCTGCGACGTGATTACTGCGATGACCCTCACACTATTATTCTCGACAGTCTGCCAAGGTCTGCACGCGCTGCATCCAAACGTCCAGCTCCTCCGTTGTCCCCTTCACCCCCCATTACCCCTCCACCTCAATCTCAATGATCCGAATTCATGCAGCCATGCACATCACAGACATCTCACCGGGACAGTCGTGCATCCTGTGGGATGTCTGATCCACAACAGCGCCCTAGCACAGGGTTGGTCAAAGTGTCCTCTCGCTGCTCTTCAGGCTCTTCGCACTCGAAGCCTGTGTCGGCGTCGTCAGCACCTGCATCAATGTCAATGACATCACCAGCCAATTCCGCGTCAGCATCCGCAGGAAAAACGAGGCAGGGGAAGAAGCAGCGGTCTGACCTTCAGATTCAGGTTGACGCACTCTCTGACGAGATCAAGAGTGCGCAGTCAGACTGTGTCACTCGGGACAAACTCAAGAACGAGCGCTACTAGGCATTAGCACGGGTACGGGTAACCTGCAGCGGTGTAGAGACTCGCGTTTCTGCAGGCACATATGGGCTCATTTTACGAATTCTGACAACTGGCCTTCATGGCACAACTCGCACCATCATCCACTATGACTTTCCCTATAGAGCGCACCACTTTCCCGCGGAACGCGCCATAGGCGCGACACTTTCCCGCACAACGCGCAGTATTCCCGCGTGCGTGCCTTGCGCGCTTTCTCGCGCTTAAGCGCACTATGTCGCACAGCATCCAGGAGCATCCATCCATCGTCCAACCAGTCCCTCGGTATGTCCCTTTTCGTTATCTGACCATATTTAGCATATTACACTTCCCATTTCGTTATGCACCCTTACTTTACATCACCTTACCCTCACTTACATACTTAGAGCGCTCCCTATTCGGCTCCGAGCCCTGGGAGAGCGCTTAGGTAGAACTTACATACACTCATGTTCGTTTTACACCCCAACTAATTCCACCTTACCTTCCTACCACTCAGTATCTATCATCAGTTAGTTCCATGCAATGCATGTGTCCATCATCATTTTGAAGCCCTAGCATCAGTCTATAGCTAGTGGGCACTATCAGTATCCGTCTAGATCCGCACTTTCCCCTCTTATCAGTCCCAGTATCCGTCTTCTACACTTGTGCACTGCTTGCACTACCTTCCCGCGCTCCGCGCACCTTCGCACTTCACTTTCCCACGCACGCCTTCAGCGCATTTCTTGCGCTTTCACCACCATTCACCAGGGTTGTTCAGCATCATTTCATGGATCCTTGCTTTCCTTGCTTCCCCTTTAGGGTCGAACGTTCTTGCATTCTGCGAGTATAGCAGCTAGGCAGAGCTGAGACTCACTTATACTGGCTGAGCACTTTTCTTATATGTGCCTGCCAGGTTGTGATACCCACAGCGGTGTAGAGACTCGATCCTGAGTAGCCTCACAATGGCATATATTGCACTGTAGGTCGAGTCTACAATACTATGCATGCAACGCGACACTAGCGCGATAAACGCGACGTTCGCACGACGCGCGCGACATAGGCGACACTTTCGCGACATAGGCGACACTTGCGCAACTTGCGCGCACTTTAGGCGAATTTTCCCGCGCCTAAGCGCCATAGGGCGCCTGACTTCCCACTGTGTTTTCCCATGTCCAACCAAGTTCCCAGGTATGCATTTCTCCATTTATCATTTATTTCAACATCGTACCATGTTTATTTTCACTTGGTACACATTTTTCATTACACATTTTTTACTTTACACAACACACATTACCACGGACCACCATCATCATAGACAGTCACCATCTCCGAGTTTGTATTATGTTTTGAATAAATCATCGCAAGCCCTAGTAGCAGTTAGCTCTAGTGGCCATATCCGCATCAGTTGTCTTATCAGCATCTCAGTACACGTCTTACCATCTCACTATCGCTTGCATACCGCTTTCACCCAGTTCCGCTTTTCGACGCGCGACTTTCCCGCGCTTCGCGCGCCTATAGCGCCTTTGTTCCTGCGCTTTCGCCTTATCACGCGCTTTGCGCATTCCCCCTAGAGTTGACCAGTGGATATTTGCTTTCTCCACTTCCCCTAAGGGACGAACATATCGCACTCATATTTTCCTCCCTTCAACAATTATATCAGCTGCACCCTCAGCTGAGTTGAAGATCCTTCAGCGGGTCACAGGTATGGGTACTGGCGGGTACGGGTGCAGGTTGGGATTTTGAGACCTGTGACCTGCGTACCCATCACTTCCATATATGGTTGTCTGCTGCGGCAACTGCCATAGTCTGCGGTAAGGTGCGCATTAACTACTTACATGAGTCTAGACTACTACTATCAATTGTCCATCTTGTGATACCGCCAATGCCCACACCCTGCTATTCTCCTCCATCTTCTTCGACATAACACCTGTCTTCATCCTCCCACTTCTCGCAACGAGGCAATGACGAAGACCTGGATCAGGCTATCGCACTTCACAGGGAAGTGCTGGCTTTGCGCCCGGTCGGTCACCCAGATCGGTCCATGTCATTAAATAACCTTGCCGGTCAACTCTCCTTCTGCTTCTCGCACCAAGGCAATGACAAAGACTTGTATCAGGCCATCACACTTCAGAGGGAAGCGCTGGCTGTGCACCTGGTTGGTCACACAGATTGGTCCTTGTCATTAAATGACCTTGGGAATCAACTCTCCTCCTGCTTTCAGCACCGAGGCAATAGAGAAGACCTCGACGAGTCATGAGAGAACCTATGCTGTGCATTGACTCTGTTGACGCAACATGATCCTCGTCAATTAGATGATACTAAATGTCAGGCACTCCATACTCAACATTCGGGTTTCGGGTCTTGATAGTCGGGACTCAATATTCGATTTCACCGACTACCGAGTACCGGGTTTCGGGTTTCGGTACAGGGTACCCGGTACTTGATAGTCGGGACTCGATATTCAATTTCACCGACTACCGAGTACCGGGTTTCGGGGTTCGGTACACGGTACCCGGTACTCGGTGATTCAAGAAAACAACTCCCAAAATTGATGAGTGTCATGTTTTGAGTTTTGTTTCGATTTGTTTCGAGTGTCGAATCTCGGGCTTCGGGCTTCGTGTTTCGGGTCTCGATAATAGGGACTCGATACTCGATGGTCGGCACTCACATCTCGGGCTTCGGGAGTCGATTGTCGGGACTCGGGTTTCAAGACTCGGTAGTCGGGACTCGATAGTGCGGATTCGGGTTTCAAGACTCGGTACCCGGTACTCGGGTTTCGGTACTCGGTGATTCAAGAAAGTGTCGTGGTGTTTGGAGTTTTGATTTGTTTCGTGTCGAATCTCGGGCTTCGGGCTGCTTGGGTTTTGGGTCTCGATATTGGGGACTCGATACTCGATGGTCGGCACTCAAATCTCGGGCTTCGGGAGTCGATTGTCAGGACTCGGGTTTCAAGACTCGATTGTCGGGACTCGATGGTTGGGACTCGATGGTTGGGACTCGATAGTCGGGCTGTGGGACTCGATTGTCAGGACTCGGTGGGGACTCAAAACTCGCAACTCATAGCAATGTTCGAGTTTCAAGTCTCGTCTCGAATCTTGGGCTTCGGGACTGGATATCCGGGACTCTATGTTTGGGACTCAATATTTGGAACTCAAGATATCTGGATCTCGATACTCGATATTTGGTATGCAGGACTCAGCATATAGCAATAGGTCAGATATTCGAAAGTCAGTATGTAATTTTCAGTACTTATTTCATCATGTACAGAATTTAGACATCAACATTCTGAACTGAAGGACTAGAACTACTCTGGTCCCCTTGGGTTCAATTTGGTTAGGACGGCGGTTGTACATCTGAATCTCTGCCATCTTTTCACGGATGCCAGCTTGTTGATCCTCAATCACTGTCAGGAGGCGTTCCCTCATCCACCTCAGTGCCTTCAGCGTTGCAACCGAGCTTTCATCCACCTGCTCGGGAACAACAAGACGTTCGTCCTCAACGCCAGACTAGAAAGGATTAGTCATCACTCAAGGAAATTCTGTAAAAGTCTTACTAGCCAATGCTGGTAGTGACAGACACAATTAGCGAATACCTGATCCCATGGCCATAATTCGTTCGGGATGGCAGTTGATCCGGTCCACCATGGAGTACCATAGGTGGATACAATGCGGGAGGGATCCCCCAGATCTGCAACATCTTGAAACTGGCATAGGTGGGATGAAAAGATGTGGTCCGGAACCATGTTCCAGGCGAGCTCCGGAATCAACTGAAGAATATGAGCAACCGGGCTCGGAACAACCGAAATGATGTTCCTTGCAGCTGAGTACTGCAGGATGGGAGTCACAAAGTCTGTTGGAAATGTCAGCATCGACCACCACAGTCATCAGCCTCTTACAGCTATCTCCCATTGCAGCCCGGCTTTAAAGTGCGTGATCCGAAGTAGCAGATGGCTCCTGGGTGTGGGCAGCCTCCATCTGATATTGAGAGATGGACGCTCGGATGCAAGATGCAGCCATTGACATTGTAGCTGCAATATCTGCCTGAGTGAGTGTGAGGGGTCGGAACCCATTGCCGGACGTCTGAGAATTAGAAGGGGATGTTGGGGGAGTATGCAATACAGACATGGTTAATGCAGGATTATGAAGCTGGAAATGACAATGACAATGGCAGTTGGTTCGGAGGTCAAGATATGAGCCACTGGTTGACTGATAAAAATTTTGAAACTCCGACATGGGTCGACCCGGCCAATTCCCGGGACTAAAATGTTGGGGTCAAAGTAGCTGTTTCATATCGTTGGTTAAAAAATTTCATTCATCTCGAGCATCTATAAACCCGGTCTTCAGGTCTTGAATGCTGCCTGGGCATCCTGTGCCAGCAATGAATACATTTGGGATTGCCTTCCCGAGTAGCATGCATGACCCGGAAGGTGTTTCACCAATGATTCCCGCATCCTGTCACCCATTGGGTTGCTTTCCACAAGAAAAAGTTACATGTCCAATCCATCTCCAATTGGACCAACATCATTTTCTTCCTTCCATCGATCCCGTAGTGCCTTTGCCCGGAGCCAATGAACTCGGTAAACTTCGGATGACTCTGTCAGCTGAGCGCGGGACACATCAAGCATGCCCAAACTCACATTCCTCATTCCACGAGTGATTGGGACCCCCAAGGTCGACTTCGACTGACCAGAACCAAGCGAGGGACTCGTTTCGCTGACCTCGGGCATTTGGATCGCCGACGGCAGTGCTGATTTGAGCTGCTCTCGAAGCAGGGGTTTGTATTTCTGAACCTGGTCTTGCCCTGGCTCCAGTTGCATCATTTGCTTCCTCGTCTTCGTATATATACTGGCATGGAGGGACACCGCCTGCTGCACCGACGTCACCTGGGACCAAGCTCGAGTTTTCAGGGCCTGGATTTGGCTTGCCTAACTGTTGTTCGAAACAGAATCGCCTTGTTGCACAAGTGAATTCGGAGGTTGTGAAGGGAGTCATTGGCCTGCCCTTCACGAAGAGACATCTCCAGCGGAATGAGATCGTCTGCCATACAGCGTCTGCATCGATCTACCCCGAGGTTTGATGGCAATGGGATTACAGTGAGCTCAGGGGAGTTTGCCCATGTGTCAGATGTCTCGGTGAAGTCTGCCAAGTCATCATCGAGATCATCAAGAATGTCCAAGTACAAGTCTTCAGGATCATCATCTGCATCAAATCCCTCTCCGAGATGCGTAATAGCAGACCGAGTGAATCCATCTATCTGGCCTTGGAGACGATCGCGTTGCCGGGCGATGTCTAACTTCTGTGTCTCGGTAGTTCTTCTACCAATCCTTCGGACCTCGATGAGCATGCGATTTGAGCCTCTTCAATTGCCAACCCCATTGATATCCATTCGTCGCCACAGACCTGCGAGCAGGTGCTGCATTTCGGGCATTACCC